CTCTGGGGAAAGAACCACAGGCCACGATAGGGTCAGGGAAATTCCTCATTTTCTGCTAATGGCTCCAATACTGAGGACATAGTCACCAGGGGCCTGATTCTTATTTATGAGTGGCAGGTTCCTTATGAACAAAAGAGGGAAGAGCATCCAGTGACTAAGTGCCATTCCAACTCTGTCTCCCCCATTCACTGAGTATCCTTCTGCTTGCTGAAGCTCTTTTTGGGCTGGCCAGGTTATCATGGGGCTGTTGGCCCTGCCAGCAGAAATGAAAGCACCTCCGGTCTCAGTCCCAGCCCAGAGGTTGAGCTCAGCAGCTGAATTGGAAGGTAACTGGCTTGTGTTATGCTGGTTTGAGAGTAAAGGAAGAGACAGATAGTTTTGGGTACACCAAGAGGGATCAGTCCTCATCTCTCTTGTCCCTTTCTCTCTTGTTTTCTCTCTCTCTCTCCTTCTGCACCCTGCAACACACTGCTAATGGAAGAGGCTCTGCTTGCCCCAGCTGTTTGCAACATCAAAGCAGTGTCCCAGCCTTCCTAATCTGAGGTGCCCGATTGCCTGTCACATCAGGGTTTGGCATGGAAACAGCACTCAGCTCGCTCCGAGAGAGCCTTGAACAAACAAGCTCCCCACTCTCCACCAGCTCTCTGCTGACACTGGATGAGACACTACAGGGAGAGGAGAGGCAGATAAGGGAAGGACGTGCTGTTTGTCTCTTGTCAGGGCTCCAGATATGTGAGTGACAGAGCCCGGCATATACTCCAGACCAGAGGCACCCTGGCAAACCTTATGCAGGGGACATTTGTAATGCTTTCAGGATCACCAGGCTCTGTCAAAATTTTCTGGAGGTATGGACTGGCAGGGTCACTCTTTTGATGAACTAGCTCCTTGGAAGTCAAGATGACTTGGTGGAAGAGAACAGGGACCCTGAGGCTCACCTTTACCCATCCCAACAAAACTCTGAGGGCTTTGATGCTCCTTTGTTATTGAAATGAAAATTGGGGATCTCAAAGGAAAGGACTCCCAATATTAACTACTTTCAGGAAACCAGAAACACTCCAGATACTTTTCTCCCAGATGGGCTTGCTTCTCTGTAGCATCATGACTTTATTCACACGTCTTGATATTACAGCTTTTATTCTTTTTTTGTAGATGTCCTTCCAACTTCTGGAAACCTTAGGGGAGACTTGAGCTTTGGATGGATTCCTTGGATATCAGACAAGTAAACCCAACAAATTCCACAGGTGTTAACAAATCTTATGCTGAAAGAACCTCATCTGGTAGGCCCCACAAAACCACAATTGGGCAACTACATCTGAAGGCCATTTCTACAGGTGATTGCGTAAATGTTTCCTGTTATACTTCAATAAGCTTTGAAGGACTGGAATTGTTTAGATTTTCTTTATTTGCAGGTGCCTCAGGCTGTGACACACTGTCCTGATAGAAGCCCATCTCTTGGGGTCCTGCAGTACTAGGCTGTCCCACACATCATGAGTGGCTGCAATGAATGGGCAGAGTAAGAAGTGATTTGAAACTCTATTTCTGAGCTTGAGGATCTTTCCTCTGATATTTTTTACCAGTGCTGTTCCAGTGACACAAGTCACTTGTTGGAGGAAAGGGGAGGGCAGTGGCTGCTCTGGGGACAAAGATCCCTGCAAAGAGTGGCAGAGACCAGAACAGTATGTTCAGAAAATGATGATCCTCTAAAAGGTGGAGACGTAGTTAGGGAATCCCTTTGGATGTACCTCCTGCATGCAAAGGAATTTCCAAAACAGTCATTTGGTGACAGAGCCCTACAAATATCAAATATGGAGGGAGACACTCGTGCTGGGGCTGAAAAGCACATGAGGAAGTGTCTGGGGTCCAGACCTCAAAACTGATTGCTCAGGCTATGCTTTAGCAATACAGTAAACCCAGCTTTAGGGCTCCAAAAGCCCTATCAGAAATGCTAAGGCATGCAACAAAGCACTGATTCACTAATCAGTGAGCTGCCCTGGAGAAACTTTGTCTTTAAGCAGGCATGGCCTGCCAATGCCATTCTAACTTTGCCAAGTACCATCTACCAGCCCAAACACCGTATCTCATATTCTGGCTAGTTTGACAGGCCAATCACTGGACATCAGTGCGTCATTTGGATTGGATTCACTGCTGGCTGCTTTGGCAGCACCAGCATAGGTAGGAATTGAGGAGGAACCTTGGCCTCAGACTTGAGAGTGTGTTGGCGTCTGCTTGGGGTCTGTGCCTAGTGATGTGATAGCACCTCTTGCAAGAGGCTTGGGATCCCCTAACAGGTGCTGCCAGAATACACCTGGTCCATACATCTGGAGAGCAGGGGAAAGGCAGAGAGGTAGGAGGTAAATTAGTGCCACTGCTTTCTTTAGGGAAAAACAAACAAACAAATGAAAGATAGATATTTCTGCATTGAATGAGAGGAGGGGGTGGATGCTAAAAGCTGAGCCTAGGCCTGGTTACAAAGCAGGAATAAAAGCAGGGAGGGACCACAGTGTCCACTAACCTGCAACCCTCACCCTCTTGCCACCCTCCCACCCTGTCCGCCTTGTTTCCTGTGCCCTGTTCCCGCTCAGGACTCCCCCTGCTTCACCGAGGGGCTGGGCCCTCTGGTAGGGACCAGGCTGGGCTGGCAGAGTTGGGGGGTCAGGAGTGGGGCGGTGAGGGTCGTCAGGTTTCCTTCTCCGGGACTGCAGAGTTAACTTCTGCATGGACTCATGCCCGCGGGAGACATCTGGGAAGAGCCGGCAGAGCCGCCTGGTACTTACGTGTCGTTGGGATGTACATTTTCCTCTGCTTCCCCGGGAGACTCCAAGTCATGTTTTTCCCCTTCCCCTTTCTCAAAAGCGATCGAGCAAAGCAGTCCCAGGAGGGACCGAGTCCCACCACGTACTACCGGAGACGCAACTCCTTCTTCCTCGACCTGCCCATCGCCCCCTCCGTACCCGGGGACCGCTCCCGCCCCCCGCCGGCGGC